ATATGTATGTTATATATGGGGCAATAATGTCTGCTACATATTTTACAGGTTTAATTTGTAAATCATCCGCATCACGACTGCCACTGTTACTCAGACACATAATAGAGGAACACACTTCAGTCTCATATGTGGGGTACATAAAGAGCGATTCCGAGATAGGCTTAATATTTTCTGACGCTTCATGATAATAAGAGTTGTTCCCGATATTCACAAAATGGTTGTTAAATACGTTTGCCAGGTTTGAGGCACTTAAGACCTCTCCATTATGTTTAAAATTTTCAAAACTTTCTGGCTTGTAAGACGAATTGAAAACACTATTTATACGTTTCCATAATATATCGGCCTTTTTTAGACACTCAGCGTCAAACAGACTAGAATAATAAATTCTTTTAGATTTTCTAATTTCCGCTGTTAGTTGGTTTCTGTATTCTTTGAAATTGACTAATGCCACTGCTTCACGTGTCACAAGAAATGTTTTATAAAGTTTATATTTTATACGCGTCTTCTTAAGGAGTGCAGTGGTCATCCAAGGCTTTCGTCCTTTTCGAGCAAGTTTAATAGTTTTATTTGGAAAACAAGAAAAATAAACCTGTTTAAATTTTTCCAAAAACGCGTTGTATGCACTATCCACGTCTTTTGACTTCAGTACATCGGTCCAATCAGTGGCCAATAATTTCTGCCTAAATGCATCTAGTGTAAGTGGTGTAATGTTTTGGAAAGTCATAGAATTTGTGTCGCGCTTATGTACCTCTCGTGTTGTGTCAGCTAGCATAAATATGGGCAGATGGTCGCTAATATCCGAGCTTATTACGCCAGCTTTGATCTTTTCCTTCTCATGGTTTGTAATAAAAAGATCAATTAATGTTGATGTAGAAAGTGTAGTGCGTGTGGGATGAGTAATTACATTAACAAAATTGTTCGCCGTTAACAATAATAACAAGTCGGCCGCGTTGGGGCTAGTTTCCAACAAATTAATATTTAGATCGCCACCAATAAAAAGAACATATTTGCTTTCGTTTGCGTGACACAGCAGTTTATCTAGAAATGTCAAAAATGGTGCCACATTCCCGCTGGGCGGACGATATATAACAGCAAAAATATAAAAGTCCCGTTTTATACACAGTATTTCATAGTCATCCATAACAGATGTGTATTCAGGAATATTTTCGAAATTATCACTCGCGACAAGCATAGCGACACCACCCCCCCGCCCGGAAACACGATTTTGATAAAAATGATTATACTGGGGGAGAATAAAAAAATCTGTTCCATCTCTGTACCACGTTTCCGTGAACATTACGACATCGAACGAGCATTCACATGACTCAAAAAGAAACATAAGGTCGTCTATCTTAGATCTAGCAGACCTAACATTCAGGTGAAAACGTTTCAAGAGTTTACTTGTTTTATTTGTTTCGTTACAAATATCTTGCGGAAGAAACAGATCGTTGTCTGCCATTACCTAGCAGAAAAAAACAATAAAAAGGAAAACGCTTATCCTACAATTTTGGCTTAACAAATCTTGTCGAGATCACCGTCGTGTTCTATCGATACGATATCTGCGGTTTCAGATCTACGGGCTCAAATCTTGCTGTTTCGCAGCCACACGTATTTTCATCCCGCGTCTCGCTTTTTTGCAGTGGCCTTTCCAAGTAGTTTCTTCAAGGTCGGGCACAAATGCTCGTTTACAAAGACCGCGGTGTCAGTCGATAATCCGAAGTCTTTGTTCGTGAGTCGCTTTTTCCTGGCTTTTGCAAGCACCTTTTCGCGTTTCTCTCTTCGTACGAACTGCACGATAATATTTTGCTTGTTTAGTTCTCGTGTGCGGACTCGGTGACAGATTTCAACATCTTGTTTATCAATCGGTTCGCCAATTAGTTCACCAAGCTTGCACAAAGTTGCATGAAGATCCTCGTTTTCAATAACTGCCATTCCTTTTATCTCTAGGTTGTAGGCGCGAGAGTGCTGTTCGCATTGGACAATGCTCATCCGGTTTGCTTTCACATCCCCCTCAAGGGCGTGATACCTCGCTCGAAGCTCATCATTTTCTTTCTTTAACGCAGAAGCTGTCTCGACTTCGCTTGCAAGTTTCTTCTTCATGTTCTCAAATTTAGCATTTATAAAATCCATACTAGACTTCACTTCCCGTATATCTGAACGGAGGTCACGAATTTCATTGCGAAAGTCCCTCTCTATCGTTTCCCTCAAGGATTTCCACTCGGTCCTCATCTCATCCCGCAATTCTGCGAAAAGGCGCGTAAGGTCCTTCGCCATTGGGTCGGTTACACATTATCGTGAACAACAACACAATTGGCAGCAGCGACGGCAAGTTTTCTAAATGTTCGGGTAGTATTATATTGTAAAACACCAACCTGCAAAGTAGCGCAGTTTTAGAATGATGCGTGGACTGCCGTCGCGACTGCCAAGTGATGAGCGATGCAAGGATCCTCTTCTTATAGTGCAGACGACTGCAGCGGCCTCATACAGCGGTCAGTTGGTATCGTAGACGTCCGAGGGGAAGGCAGCAGCAGTGACGGAGCGTATCCAGCCAGGCACAGGATCGTAGGCTGTCGACGATTGCAGGGGTAGCGCTTATCAACCGGAACAGGCGATTGAAGCAGTCTGCAAAGTAGCGCAATTTGGAATGATGCGTGGACTGCCGTCGCGACTGCCAAGTGATGAGCGATGCAAGGATCCTTTTCTTATAGTGCAGACGACAGCAGCGGCCTCATACAGCGGTCAGTTGGTATCGTAGACGTCCGAGGGGAAGGCAGCAGCAGTGACGGAGCGTATCCAGCCAGGCACAGGATCGTAGGCTGTCGACGATTGCAGGGGTAGCGCTTATCAACCGGAACAGGCGATTGAAGCAGTCTGCAAAGTAGCGCAGTTTTGGAATAATGCGTGGACTGCCGTCGCGACTGCCAAGTGATGAGCGATGCAAGGATCCTTTTCTTATAGTGCAGACGACAGCAGCGGCCTCATACAGCGGTCAGTTGGTATCGTAGACGTCCGAGGGGAAGGCAGCAGCAGTGACGGAGCGTATCCAGCCAGGCACAGGATCGTAGGCTGTCGACGATTGCAGGGGTAGCGCTTATCAACCGGAACAGGCGATTGAAGCAGTCTGCAAAGTAGCGCAGTTTTGGAATAATGCGTGGACTGCCGTCGCGACTGCCAAGTGATGAGCGATGCAAGGATCCTTTTCTTATAGTGCAGACGACAGCAGCGGCCTCATACAGCGGTCAGTTGGTATCGTAGACGTCCGAGGGGAAGGCAGCAGCAGTGACGGAGCGTATCCAGCCAGGCACAGGATCGTAGGCTGTCGACGATTGCAGGGGTAGCGCTTATCAACCGGAACAGGCGATTGAAGCAGTCTGCAAAGTAGCGCAGTTTTGGAATGATGCGTGGACTGCCGTCGCGACTGCTTTCCTCCGCCTATGCCCCAGGACCAGTGAGCTTCTCTCCGTATCTGCCACTTTTGCGGTGAGCTTTTCTCCGGTGAGTTTCTCTCCAGTGAGCTTTTCTCCGGTGAGCTTTTCTCCGGGATTCCCCCCCCCCCCCTCCCCCCGGTCGCGGCTAAATATTCAGCTTCATGGCCGTGCTATCTCGGCTGGTTCCCTTATCCTAAATATATGCTACAGGGAAATAAAGTGAGACAAAATATAGAAGCGGAGCTTAAAAAAACACTAACACCCTCCCCCCCCCCCCCCTTAAAAAATTGTTTTAATTGTTTGAACGTCGACTTAATATGGTGTCAGAGACCACCCGATCAATATTTTGCTACAGTCACGTATATTTTTAATGTACCCAAATACTCAACCGCTGAAAGCCGAAACCGAAACACGAGCACGGAAGCTCGTGGCCACGACATGTGGACGATGTGCGCCGAGAAGGAGGGAGGAATGGAGAGGAGAGGCGATGCCGGTGGTAACGTAAGCTACACCCGACCGTGTTTTTTTTTTTTCTACGCATCTACGTTGTGCGAAGCAGACGATGACGGCGACGAAGTTGCGTGCACCGTTTTTTGTGCTTTTGTTTCGCACTTATATGTCTTCCGCTCGATGTTCCGGTGGGCCTTCAAGCTCGATGTTCTGAGCTTGAAGACCCACCCCTTGCCCGTTCGATCTGAATGAGCTGCGTACCGGAACGTCTTCGTGTAATCTCTACTACGTTGTGCACGTTAAAGACCCCAGGTTAGCGGTTGTACTGCTCTGGCTAAATTTTTCGTTTACGGCTGAGAGACAGGTCACCCGTTGAGGCGTACCAATTTCAAGGCTGTCTAAGCATAAAAGCAACAGAATTTGGCGCTGGAAGATCGATTGGCCGGTAGTACGAAGTTCAGTTCCCATGTCTATCGGAACATTGGTCCGACGTGCTCTGCCATCGCGTCGTCCAGCCCACGGTACATCGCCATGTTAAGAATGACGTGCTATATGTACCAGTACTTCCCCTGATCTGTGGATCGTTTTTTTATCAACGTATTTGCGGTTTCTTGGAAGCCAGGCTAGAAAAGCGAGGTTGATATAATTTTTTTATATTGAATATGTGCCTTAGATGAACCACGACTTTGAACATATTTGGTACCCTTCAGCTTGAACGCCACTTGGTCATGGAAAAGAGGGTAAGAGCGACTAAAACCGGTCGATTCTCGACCGGCAGTTTTCGGGCGAAAAGAAAACGAATTTCGAGCCGCAAATTGTGTTCTGTGTAGTTGGGCCATTATAGGTCATGTTTAAATAAAAATCTTGGCGGGTATAAATACCGTGTCAGGATGAATTTAGGCTTGCTGTATAAATATTTATGAGAGATTTGCTGTGATCATTAACCACAAAGTTTGAAACAATGCTCTTTTTAACGGCTTTATTGTGCTCACAATTCATGGTGCCCTGACTCCAGAAATAGGTAACTTTTATTCTTTTATTTTGTTGGGAAACAAATCGTGTTTTGCGTGCGACGTTTCAACCCAAGGATTTTCATTTTAGTCGCCCGGCAGGTCATGGTTCTTATATCCAGTCAACGCATTCTTCAGCTATGCAGAGCTTCGGGGGCTGAAATATTACGTGCTATATGAGGACAGTTTCTTCATAGTAGGCTAAGTGCATGTTAATTTTTTATTTGTTGGGTGTTTATTTCTGTTGCCCTCATAAGACGTGAAGTTTAAGCCCACCTTTGAGTCGCTGCAACGTGTCCCGTCCGGTGCTGTGACATTCAAAAGCGAAAAACGGCCATCCTGATCAGGACTCGTTGTACAATATAGAACGCACCTCTCCAGCATTCCGTCCTGCAAAAAGTATCGTGCGTTGTTTTGATGTGTCCTAAAACAGGTGCCCAACTTTAGATATGTCGGTATAAATCACAGAGATTCCAAGCTTGATCTGGGAGTAGTTGACTGAGCAATTGTTACTGCACCCTAGGTGGGAGAATAAAGGCGCGAAAACTAGTCCCGCAGACGCCAGGTATCTAGTACTGAATTTTCACCCTTGCTGGTGCGGATATTAACTCACAGTGCACTGCTGTGTTGTGAAATCTCTATTTGTGATGCACGGTAAAGTGCCATTGCTGACCCCCATATCTCTACTCCTGTTTTAGAATATTTCAGTAGACTGTTCTAGAGCCACGATTTGCTAGCGGCAGCTCGTGCCATAACTTCAAAGCATGAATAGAGCACACACCCACTGGACTTGCTTTCCGTAGCGTACGATCTACGAAAACTTTATATTGTTTCCAACGCTCCAAAACCCAAAAACTCGCAATAAAATCCTAAAACAATTGCACAAGAAAAAACACATTTAGAGTGCATAGCAGCCCGTCAAAAGTCAGATGAAGTGGATTTTCTCCCCTCCATTTTTTATGACGTGGTTGGCGAAGGCATATTTCATAAAATTAGAGACGTTGCGTCTTGTATGCCTGTATAAAATAATAATGTAAATGTTGTTTACGGCAATTGCAGAGGCACTGTGCCGCTGACTTCGATATATAAGAACACAGAGCCCGAAAGTTTTACTGACGATACATCGGTCATCTCCTTGGTTCTGCTCTATTTTATTTTCAACATGATATCGCTCGGCGTCGGTGCTCAGGACATGGAGAAGGATGAGGGAGGCGGGAAAGTTGGCGAAGGCTCCGACGAGTTGTTTATTTTGGTGTCGTAGAGACAAAATACTTAAGGTATCCTTCGGGTAGCTCATCAAAGTTTGCAACGCGTCACTTTCCGCTTTACTTTCTTAAACTGCGTGTTTGACGATGAATCGCGCGATAGTTTTTCCTTCCGCGCAGTGACAGAGTAGCAGAAAAAGAAATTAAAATATAACGGGCAGCGTTCACCCACCTCAACTGGATGCCAGAACAAGCGGCCACGTGATCTGGAACCGATTGCATGTCACCATTGTTTATCATCGCTATGGGGGTCGGCAGAGCAGAGGAGACGAGCTAAGTTTTCGAGATTAATACGGTCCGGCTAATATTTTGAAGAGATTGAGCACCAGCAACTACCTCAGGCTATTGATCATCAAGAACCCAAATTAAGTGCCCACGCAATGCTCGGGTCCAATTCGTAAAACGCATTACAATATCGTCACTCGGAGGACAGTACCAACCTACAAGCTTCGTCATCAAGTTTTGCGAGAAAGAGATCGAAAGAAAATGCCCGCCTTTATCCTAGTTAATTAAACCACTACAAAGAAGTTTTTGATCAGTGGCGCTGCAAGCGAGTATGCTTGGATTCCACTAGCGCCAGTAAGCTCGAAGAAAGGGAAAATCATTCCAACCGAATATCATTGCACCTCCTATTCAGGGGCCGCTGGTGATCACTCTGACTTTTCTGGACTAACTGCCGATCTACCAATAGTAGAGAAATAAACAAGTTTGTGTAAATGCAGGCCGAGTTAAAGGTAGCTCTACAACTTTTTTTTCTTAATTTTTCAGTTCACTGATTCTACACGATTGCAATACCCCCGAACTTCAGGGTATAATTCATACTTGGTATTTTGTCCAGTTTTGTAAACAGCTCACCTCAAATATTTTCCCTTCCCTTTTGTAACCAGCATTAGCTTCGAAGGCTAGGAGGGCTCCACCTTCGGCAAATACATTTTTTTTTTGTATTGAACTACATAATAAAAATCCCTATTCTATAAGCCGGGTCCCCCTGTGGCTTAGGGACCCCCATGCTGTGGGGTCTTCTCTGTTTTAACGCTGCTTATTGAGCGCCCATTATAGCTGTGAACGCGCACTTTTCTTTCCTTCTGAAAAAGCTGTCCAAAAAGTATATAATGTGGTGAAGCGTAACTGAAGTTACGTGTCCCTTATATGAGTTTCACAGTGCCCTTGTAAGTAGCAGTGCCATACACAACAAAATAGTCATGCGTCAAAACAACTTTCACAAGAGCAGGTGGCAGTATAACGCTGTAGGTTTCTGCTTCTATTTAAGCACGCACTTGTGAAGCGAAACCTCCATGCTAATATGATGAAGCCCACACCTGGTATTAAAAATAATAACACTATTAAAATAATAATAATAAAGCATTGATAATGTTTGAGAAAATTCAAAATAATATGCAGGTCCGTCAAAGCTGTCAGGGGATTGTGGGACAGAACGTAAGTTTAAGTGGCACCACCTAAGTATAAGAAAACTTAAGCGTTCCAGTAGCATCAACTGAAGTATTATTTTAAAAATCCATAAGAATGGCAACAGTATCAAGTGAAGTATTTAAAAAAAAAATTAGGTCATCCGACACCAAAATGTTTAAAGTTCTACATTCACACAGTACGTATTCTGAAGCACCAATCATTATGAAAAATTAGCTCTACTATACACATGTCTATCAGTCTTCGGTCCTTTCCAATAACAATACCTCCACTCAGTTGAACAAAAAGTAAACGCAAACCGACAACGTGTAGCACAAAACAAATATTTAAAAAAGTTGATAAAAAAATAGGTTTGAAATTTGGTAGTTTAAACTCGACAAAATACCGCCACGAACAAAAGAAGAAAAAAAAACAACAACAGAAGGTTCCGTTTAAGGAAGTTTGAGCGTATAAAGCTCTCCCTAGTTTCTTTGTCAAAGTGAGATTTTGAAGTTTGGAATGTTGCGAGCTATATATCTGAGGAAAATCATAACATCACACCTCTGTGCCATAACGTGTACAACACGCGGGAACAAGAAACTGAGTGACTAGTCGTAGTAGGCGTAATTTTGTATAGGGTGTTTTAAATTCGTCACTCCAGTGCTTGGTAAGGACGTTTGCTCAGAAAAGAAAAAAAAAACTACTAGAAATTGGGCATAAATAGGGCTTGAAAAAGACCGGGTCAAAATGACGTGGGTTTGTAATGAACATTGCGCAGTATTTCGTTTAAGATATAAGTTGATGTTTTTGTGCCATAAACTGTAGGAGTTGCAAAAAACTGCTATGCTATAGCTGTGTATGTTATAAGCTATGGAGTTATCTATGGGTTTTAAGATACCAAACTGCAAGAAAGGCTTCATGTTCTATATTATACAGAAAATACTCCTTAACTTCAAATATAGTTTTCTGAAATGTGAGTTCCATTAATTGACTGAGTCAAAATGATGCCTTCGTCTTTTACGGTGTTTGAGCACATTGGCTTGCGATGCATGATAATGTGTGGAGCAGAAGAGGAATGTCTAAAAGGATTATCCTAAGTGAATTGTGAAAACGACCTAGTTTTGTTTTGTGTGAGGGTTTTGTCAATTAGATTTTTTGTTTGGCAAATTAGTTTGTTATTTCGAAGGAGCATTTCAGTAGTATTATCGTCACTCTAGGAAAATAGAGGTGACTTGTTAGCAGGAGATTGTCATGAGAATATTGACAGATGGAACAGTTTCCAATGAAAGTATACACAAAAGTTGACGTTTATATATAAAAAAACAAAAACAAACGAAGGTGAAGAAGTCGAACCCTGTGGCACACGTGCTTTTAGAAAAATTTTGTTGCTGCATATTTGTTTATATTGAAACAATTTGTGTTCAATCTTGTAGAGGGTTATTTAACGTGGCCAATAAACACCATCGGAAACCAACAGCGGAGACCTTTTGTATTGAAATTTAATCGTTTACAATGTCGAACGCCTTGGAGACCTCGAGAAAACATGCACAAAAAACAGGTAAGACTCGAAACCTAAATTTGTGTTGGATGAGAGAGTGGTTCGAGAAGATGATGTGTATACTACCTCGAAATAAATCCGTACTGGGTGCGAAATATGATGTTGCGTTTATTCACACAGAAAGAGATTTTTATATGAATATTTTTTTTCGAATATTTTAATCATACATGGCGCAATAGATATTGATCTATGGTTTTCTATTCGGTCTCGTTGTCCTCCTTTGAAAAGAGGTTTAACAATAGCAGTTTTGAATTGAATGGGAATTGAACCAGTTTCAATACTCCGTTGAAGAAAGCATGAAGTGTATATTTTATGTTCTTTAAATTTCTACGAATATCGCTGAAGCGCGTCCCATCGTATTCTGGGACTCGTTCGGTTTCAGACTAAAGGTTATTGTCTCAAGGTCGGAAAGTGTCAGTTGCGGAAGAAATGCAGACGCCCTACTACAGTCAGGTAGGGGCAAAGTTGAGTCATTTTGTTGGGCTTTACCTGAAAACGTTGCCAAAACATTGCTGAAGGCATGAGCCGTAATAAGTGGATCAGATCCAAAAGAAGCGTTTAAAGCATTCCAGTGTAGACGTTTAGTAGGAACCCCACGTAATTCATTCTTCAATGACAAGGATTTTGCGAGACTGGTTCGAAATTCAAACACTTTTATTAAACTAAAGGCGCTTTGCTGAGCGAATCAGGGCGCTTACTTTGTTCCGAATCGTTCTAAAATAACAGAGAAGGTCTGCGTTTAGGGGTGATCGACGGCATCATTTCTAAACAATTTTTTAAACTTTATGGCAGATAGTATATCCTTATTTAACTAGGTATGTTAGTTTTTCTTTGTTTAGTGAATATGTATATTAGTTTTCATACAACTGCTTAAACATCTCAACAAACAATTGGTAGATGTTCGAGTAAGTTTGTGTGAAAAGCAGTCAGTCGTCGGTAGATATATAATTATCAAGTTTTTGATGGTGAATCATTTCAGCTTGATAATCGTTATTGTGCGCTACTTTGGATGTAAAGCCAAGATCCTCTGTGTGGCATGTCACAAAGCAATGGTCTTGAGTTATGACTGCTGTTTTTTGTTTTATTTGACCATAGCGATCTCATACTAAGGTAGTCTATCGAGGAGATAACCAAATTGCTTCTAAGCGATTCCCCCATGT